TAGGACCGCTCCCTCCAGGGCATCCCCTGAGGGCTCCTGGACTGTGAGAGGGGGCAGGCTGGGCTGAGGGACCCCTCCTCCAGTGCACGAATTTCGTGCACCGGGCCTCTAGTTAGGTTATAAAAAGTCTATATCTTTCATGCTGCGTTCTCTCTCGCTCATCACTCACCCTTGTGGAAACTAGTTGCTGTATTGTGAATTAGCCCTGCGGACACTTCCACATGGAGAAAGATCAAGGCTAACCACCAATCATGTGTGTGAACTTTACGGCAGCTTCCTCACCCTCCCACTAAAGCCTTCATTCAGGTAAAACCACAGCCCCACCTGATAGCTTGACTGCAACCTCATGAGAGCCCATGAGTCGTTGACATGGTGCTGCACCTGGATTCCCGCCCTACAGAAACAGATAATCAGTACTTGTTGTTTTAAATCATAAAGTTTTACATAAATTGTTATTTATCAAGAGGTAACATACAGAGAAAAATAGAGAAATAATGAGAAGTAGATGAATTTAGGAGTTTTTTTGGTTTGGGGAGATTTGCTTTTTTTCTTGAGGACATGCTAACAGAACCTACTAGACTGGGTTTTATTGAACAGGAGAAGTAAAGAATTACTCTTGAGTTTAGCTTGAACATCTAAGTGAACAGGCATGCCATTTACTAAGATTGAGAAATCTGATGAAAAATCAGCAGCCAGGTAGAACTGCCAAGTAGCGGTTAGTATAGAATTCTGGCGCTCTGAGGATTCAGGGCTGGGAATCAGATCTGGAATAATAATAGTAACAGCCTCGCTGGTTGTGAGCACTAGGTGAGAGAATGCAGATAAAGCGATTTGCACAGTGCACCCACCTGTCATCTGTAGTAGGTTGAATTGTATCCTTCAAAAGGTATGTTCAAGTGCTAGCCCCGGTACCTGTGGACATGACCTTGTTTGGAATGAGGGTCTTTCAGATACAATTAAGATGAAGTCATACTGAATGAAAACAAACCCCAATTCAATGACTGGTGTCCTGATAAGGAGAGAAAACACACACACACACACACACACACACACACACACACACACGAAACTGTTATCTGAAGACAGAGGCAAAGGTGGGAGTAACTCAGCTACAAACCAAGGATTTGCCTTAGAACCATCAGAAGTCAAGGAGGGTGTGGGCTGCTTTCTTCCTCAGAGCCTCCAGAAGAAAGCAACCCTACCAACACCTTGATTTCTGACTTCTAGCCTCTGGAATGTTGAAACAATAAATTTCTGTTGTTTTAAATCATCCTGTTTGTGATCATTTGTTACAGCAACCCTGGGAAAATAACACAGTGTCCAAATAGATGTGTAATGTGAATGGTTATCATTGCTTCTATTATTATTCATATCGTACTATTGTTGTTGTTATTATATCTCCAAACACCTAATACTTTGCTTTGCACATAGTAAGACCTCAGGTCATTGTTACGGTAGACTGTCTGCATCCCAGCAGCACTCTCTGAGGGTCACACTTGGGAAGAGCGTGTCCTGAGGACTCAGTCTGGTGGTTCTGGCTAGCACGCAAGGCCCTCTTAGCCCAACAGCGAAGAAAATGTCACCTGCTGAGCTTAAAATTGATTTTAGTGAAATTCAGCAAACCCCCCTTCTCTTCCTTTGCTTCCCATCCCAGGGTGTGATAAACCATCATTGGACACTAATTCTTCTCTGGCACTTAAATTTTTTTACATGAAGAGTTAGAAAAGGAATAAAAGTTCAGATGTTCCAAAACTTGGGTGGGGGGGGGGGGAATTAGTCTCACCTGGAATAATGTGCTTAAAATGCAGATTCTTGGGCCCCTTTCCAATTCCACTGAGAATCAGACTCTCTGTGGCTGGTTTGAAGCTGGGAGGAGGCTGCAAGCTCCCCAGCTGACTTTGATGTCACCTGCTCAGCACCTGTCCTCAGGATATTTGAAAACCAGAAATATGCATATCAGGAAACTGGGTAAAGGGCTTAACAATATGCCCTCTGCTTCCTTGTTTTGCAACAGCACCTGGAAATAATAGAGAGGGGGAGGAATTTAATAGAGAAATAGCTAGTAAAAAAATGAAGTGAAAAGTGATCTTGAAGGTGAGACTATTAAAAAGGAGACAAGAGGTGTCCACAGAAGCAGATCGTTGATTTAAAGTAATAATCCGGGCAGAGCTGCACTTTTCCACATCAGAATTGTTCAAAGGGAGTGGTTTTTTGTTTTTGCTTTTGCTAAAGGCCTGGCGCCCTCTAGTGGGAAAGATAAGCAGTTCAGCGTCTACAAAAAGCGGTTCTCTCCAAAGTGTTCTCTTGCTTTGGAATGAATCAAAATTGTTTCCATTTCCCTTCATAGGCTTTGGGCACGAAGTTCCTTTTCTACTAAGTTTTTTTTCCTTTCTCATCTGCTTCAAAGTCACAGCCTCTTTATCTGTCAGTAAAGTCGAGAACCTATCAGGACTGAGGACCGTTATGTTTAAAGATACTTTTGTCTCAATTTAGTTCCAGACAGTAAGGAAAACATTTCAAGTTTTCGTAAGTCCATTCCAAAAAGCGTCAGCTGTCATTGAAATAAAGCCCGATTTGAGAAGTAATTAAAGTGATTTATACTCGTTCCCTTTGCCCAAAGGAACACAGAAGCTCCCTTAGAGCAGCGGTTCTCAACCTGTGGGTCACGACCCCTTTGGGGGTCGAACGACCCTTTCACAGGGGTCGCCTAAGACCATCGGAAAACACATATATAAGTACATATTGTTTTTGCGATTAATCACTATGCTTTAATTATGTTCAATTTGTAACGATGAAAATTCATCCTGCATATCAGATATTTACAGGACGATTCATCACAGTAGCAAAATTACAGTGATGAAGTGGCAACGAAAATAATTTTATGGTTGGGGGTCACCACCACATGAGAAACTATTAAAGGGTCGCGGCATTAGGAAGATTAAGAACCACTGCCTTAGAGTTTACTTCCTTTGGCCTAGAAATCACCTGCTAACGAGTTCTTATCAGAACAGTAGTGGGAAGAGGGAGCCGGTGACCCAAAGCAGCTCTGTGTGGTCCTCTTTCAACTCCATCACGGCAAAGGAGCGCAGGTGTGTGTGAGGAAACCGTTTGTGGAAGAGCATTGGGCTGAGGGCTGGACAGGTAGTATCCAATGTCTGTGAATTCGGCTCACCGATTGATTTTATGCTCTACTCAGCTTCCGTTCTCAGAATCTACCAAAGCAGAGGGTAGCACTTGAACCAGACTTTTATGACGGGAAGATCCTTTGAAAATCCTGACAACCACTGACACCCGTTCAAGTGGCCGGCTAACTGAAGAAAGCAGAGAGAAGTTTGCGTCTGTTGTGTATTCAGCAAGAGCCCGCCCTCTGGTTTGGGGTCTGGGCATGACAAGGAGCCGTGGCCATTCTTTAAAAAAACAAATGGGCAGGAGATCAGATCGTGCACCTTCAGAACCACACTCCATCACATTTCAAAGATAAAGCGGGAGCGAGGAAGGAAAAATCCCAATAGACACGTTTGGCAATAAAATAAAAGAAGAAGAAAAGGGGGTCGCAAATCAAAGCAGACGGTCTCCAGCAACACCGGAGAGTAAAAGGCTGCGATCATTTCCTCCTGAAACTTGGTAACAAGAAAGGGGGGGCTCTGCCTGCCGCCCTCCTCCCCGTCCCCCCCGGGGCGGGCGCGGCCAAGTTCAGCACCTCGGAAAGCGCCCCCTTACTCCCTGGGGTTCACGCATGCTCCTCGCGAGCCCGCAGCCTGGCTTTGCGGGGCCGGTACCACTCCGGCGCGGGGCGGGCAGCTCACAGGGAGTCGAGGACAACGGAGACGCGGGCAGCGAGGCGACATCGGCAGACCTCGGGAGAGTCAGAGCGAGGGAGGCGGGTCTCTCCGGTGCCTCCTTTCCCCCCCAAAGGACAGAAACCTCCTCCGAGCTGCAGGAGAAACCCACAAAGGTATTGAAAGACAAGGCGCGGGCCCCTCAATAACTCGAATAGGCTTGTGCGCTAACGCCCAAGTGACCAGCGGGGACCCCGGAGAGAGCGGACTCGGACACAAGAGACTTTGAGGGTTGGACTTAAGACAAAGAACATCTGGGTTGGGAAAGCCTTCGGAATAGAAGGGGAGGGGAGTATCTCGTCTCAAGCTTCGCTCTTCTTTGTGTG